TGGTAATAACTCGTCATACAATTAATCTGCATATATAAAAAAAAGTTAAGTTAGAATTGCATGGAATGTGGTGGAATATAATAAGAAACGAGAGATTGATAATTATGATGTAGATAAAAAAAAAAAAAAAGCCAAGTTAGATTTCCAAACTCATTATAGTTGTTTAATATTTAAAATGCTTTTTAAAATTACACCTATACCCTTATCATCTTCATCTTCTTCCCCCGATCCCCTTCTCCTTCTCTATTCATGTTCCTAACTCCATCATTCAGCTTTTCCTCCCCCTCCCTCTCTTTTCTTCTGCACTTTCTCCCTTCTCTACCTTTTTCTCATCTTTCTCTCCTTTTTGTCCCTTCCTTTCCTCATTCTTCCTAGATCTAGGCCCATACAAACCCAGATTTATGGGTTTTAAAACCAAGAATTATGGGTTCTTACAAATGTGTTCTTCATACGCCTCGCTTCTACCTTCACTGATCTCTTTCTTTTTTCTCTTCGTTCTTTCCCTTTTCTCTCTTCGTTCTTTCCCTTTTCTCTCTTCGTTCTTTCCCTTTTCTCTCTTCTTTCTTTCCCTTTTCTCTCTTCGTTCTTTCCCTTTTCTCTCTTCTTTTCCTCATTCTTACCAGATCTAGGTCCATAAAAACCCAGATTCATGGGTTTTAAAATCCAAAATTATGGGTTCTTACAAATTTGTTCTTCATACACCTCCCTTGTACCTTCTCCAATCATCCACCTCCTTCTTTCTTCCTCTCTCCTCTGCATCCCCTTTCATCAAACCCAGCAAATTTGGATATATGAACCGACCCAGATTTGGGTTCGTGTGGAACCTAGATGAATTGGATATGAATGAACCCAAATTAGAGTTCGCATGTAACCTATCTGAATTTTGTTCAAACTCTTCCCCCCTCCTTCTCTCCCTACCTTCCTCCATTTCCTCTGAAGCTACCCGCTAATCTTTAGATTCATTGCAGGGATTTGCAAACCCAGATTTTTTATGTTCACATATGGGTTTGTTTAAAGTTGTTAAATCCATGGACTTTAAGAATTAATTTAGATTTTTGTTTCCTTTCTCTTCAATTGTGATTGACAATTAAAATGTAGGTTTAAATGACAATTGATTATGGTGTTGAATTTGGTTGCTTGTTGGATTCAACCTTTTCATGAATCTTCGATCTGGGAATGAAGAAATGAAGGGGGCAGGAGTATAATTTCACTTGAGGGCAAAAGTTAAAT